AGATTGGGCGCAGTTGAAAATCCTTACGTTTTAATCCTACACCATTAACAGCTGAAAGTTTCGGCAGCGAAAAACCCTCAACAACGCCCCCTTTAGACTGCCCAGGACGGCGAAATGTACGAAATTTACTTTCATTAAGAGCCCCCAGCCCCCATAACCTTATATAAGTCTAACTTTGTTTGGGTGTTAAAATGCAAAAATGCTTTTAGTTACGGTCTATGGTTGGGGAAGTGGCAGCGCCATTAGGGAGATTAAATTTTGGGGGTGGTATTTTCGGGAACGGTGGTCTAGCTTTATTGCGCTCATTTTAGATAAATTGCCAAAGGATCCGAGATAAGCCGCTCTTAGACTCTAGACTTAATAATGAAGATACCGTGTATGGTTAGTCTGGGAAACTTTAAAGGTGATTCTAGTGGTTTTTGTGTTTAGGCCAAGGTGGATTTTTCTAAACTTTGTAAACTAGCACAATTAATTATGCCACAGTGTATCAACATATATGAAAATTGCCAATACGTTTCGAATTTCCGTTCTCGATGGCAACTTCCATATTTATGGCCCGATTATTGCTTTGAACTAATAATCGTATCAAAGAGTAATTATCCTACTAGTTGATTATTGATCACTGGACTCGTACCACAACGGGAAATGCCCAGTTCGAAATTGCCAAAATTAACCCTGAAAAATCACCATCGAAGCCCTAGTGAAGATATCGAATAATTAGCGTGTTATAATTATTCAATTGAAATTGGAAATTTACTGATGCGGCTCGAGTTCGCGTTATATCTGATGTCAGTTGCGTAATTCTACTAATAACAGCACACGATTATTCGGTGACAATATTATTAAATGGCTTATGGCTGATTGGTTGCCAATCAGTAGGGGAAACTTCGTATTTTTCAAAATAAAAATCGGTTGAGAAACGTCGGTCATAAGAGTTTGGAGGCCGAAAAGACGATTTTTCAACACAAATATTATCAATGTTTTCTTTGCGGACTTAATTTTCATGAGAAACCAACTTTTTGTCTGTAAAACGGACGATTTTCTCTGAAAACTGCATGTCGGAGAATTGCAATCGTTTAAAAACTTGGAAGTTGTCACGATTTGAAGTCCAAAAAGACGATTTTCCGAACAAAATACTTTTGTTCTGAATACGAATACTGAATTTTTACCTCGATTAACTCATTTTCAAAATACAACATGAGATTGTCTGCAAAGTGTATTCTCGACACATCCACTGTCTATAAGAAAGTTTCTATTTGCAATAGTTTGGAAGGAAATGGGGTCTGAATACTTCCACTTTTTACCCGGTAAATCGGGTTATCAACATTTTCCCGAAATTCAAGAACTCCATCAATATTTTTTGATTCCCGAATAACTCACTTCAACCTAAAATATTTATAGATTAGAAATCATCTTTACGAGCTTTCTGCAAGCTGGCGCCCCATCCCCCATTTTCTACCCATTAATCCCCAAAAAAAACCAGACCACACGTGAACAAACAATGAAGATCCACTTCGAATTGAAAACTTTAACCTTCCAGTTAGTAGACCACAGATAATTTAGCGCACAAACTGAATATTTAGTCAGCTTTTCCCAAAAAGAATTCAAGCGATATTGAAGCTTTACCACTTTCCCGAAATTCAAGAACTCCATCAATATTTTTTGATTCTCGGACAACTCACTTCAACCTAAAATATTT